GCACATTTTTATTTAGCTCATCTAACTCAGTGGTTGTTTGTTGTGCAGGGTGTGGTCTTGCATTGTCGTGAAGCAGCAGTGGCCTAGAGCGATTGACCAATTTCGATTGTTTAGCAGCTAGTTCTTCCTTCATGGTTTGCAGTTGCTGACAATAGACATATGGCGGCGCTGTCGTAGCGCCACAAGCGAAACACACCGAAGCCTAAATCACGCTATCAACATTCCGAATCATAAACAGTATATATAGAATGATTTCTTAAATTTACGCGAACACTACACATTGAATAAATCTAAATTTACGGATTTTATCGCGTTTATTTCACTACTTTTACTTATTTTTAATTCCTGACGTTTCGGGTGCTTTACAGCAACCATGGTCACGGGGGGGGACTGAGATGTTTGACGTCCCAATGTCATAGTTAGTCCGGCTACCTTCAGTTTTTGAATATTAATTTTTGGTCCGATTTACGCAAAACCAGCTTATAGTATCATGAAGTCTTGCAGTGGTATGCTTAGGTTTGGGTTTAATTTTGTTAATTATAGGATCCCAAGCAGGTGGCAGCACCCATCCATCTTGTCTATTGAAATTTGGATGTTTTTTAATTTCAATAGTCTCGCGTATCATCCTTGGTAGGAATCGGTGTTCTTTTGCGAGAATTTGTGGTTTATCAAAACGAATGTAATGGTGGGTCGATCTTGAACATGTTCGCAGACTGCAGACTTCCCGGAGCGTCGGTGCTTCACGTCAGCTATATGTTCTTTCACGCGGGTTTTTATGGATCTTTTTGTTTGACCTATGTAAGAGAGACCACATTCACAATCTAACTTGTACACTCCTGCATCTTGTAGAGGGATATTACACTTGACGGATGGTAAAAATTGACTAATCTTCTTCGGCGGCTTGTAGTATGTTTTAATAGAAGCTCGCTTCAAGATGTAGCCAACCTTGTCTGTGACTCCTCTGACATATGGTAGTACACGCAGCAGTAGTATAGCAGGTACACGCTCGACTGTGGCCGGCGTCACTCGGTCACTGTGACGTAGGCGCGGGACCCGAAGCTTGTTGTCTTGCAATACTTGCTTGACGTACTGAAGTTCGGCGGCCAGATGTTTTCTGTCACAGATCCCTCGTGCTCTCTGAAACAAAGATTAACCCACGGTAGCTAACTGTGAAGGATGATGGTGAGATTCACCATTTAAATATCGGACCCATACCAACCGAGTCACAGACAAGGTTGGCTACATCTTGAAGCGAGCTTCTATTAAAACATACTACAAGCCGACGAAGAAGATTAGTCAATTTTTACCATCCGTCAAGTGTAATATCCCTCTACAAGATGCAGGAGTGTACAAGTTAGATTGTGAATGTGGTCTCTCTTACATAGGTCAAACAAAAAGATCCATAAAAACCCGCGTGAAAGAACATATAGCTGACGTGAAGCACCGACGCTCCGGGAAGTCTGCAGTCTGCGAACATGTTCAAGATCGTCCCCACCATTACATTCGTTTTGATAAACCACAAATTCTCGCAAAAGAACACCGATTCCTACCAAGGATGATACGCGAGGCTATTGAAATTAAAAAACATCCAAATTTCAATAGAGAAGATGGATGGGTGCTGCCACCTGCTTGGGATCCTATAATTAACAAAATTAAACTCAAACCTAAGCATACCACTGCAAGACTTCATGATACTATAAGCTCGTTTTGCGTAAATCGGACCAAAAATTAATATTCAAAAACTGAAGGTAGCCGGACTAGTATGACATTGGGACGTCAAACATCTCAGTCCCCCCCGTGACCATGGTTGCTGTAAAGCACCCGAAACGTCGGGAATTAAAAATAAGTAAAAGTAGTGAAATAAACGCGATAAAATCCGTAAATTTAGTTTTATTCAAAGTATATATAGAACATCTCCGAACTATGACACGGAGCGTTGGCCGCTCCCCGGGCATAACACCTTGCCCGGCGGGAGATCTCCCCTTTTCCTTCCACGGCCACAGTGGTGACCACCCGACGTGATCTGAACACGCAATCAACAACCAAGGGAAACTACAACTTCAAGCCTTCGGTATTATCCTCAAGAACACTATTGAGAATCGTCTTCTGCAGTCTTCAGATCCTGCAGGCCAGTCCAACTTGTCTTCGTCTCGACTCACCGCAGATTTATAAGGCAGACTTCTGGCACTTGCTCCGGCATATCGTTCTGACCGGCATCACTTGCCAGTGCGTAGTACGGCATGCATTACACATCGGCATATTATTCGCACTGGTGTCACTTGCCCTTACGCACACAGCATGCATTCCCCACCGGCATTAAGGACGCACCGGCAATCGGACTGCACTGTCGACCTCCGGTCTGAGCAGGGGGATGATATGGCAGCGCTGTCGTCGCGCCACAAGCGAAACACACCGAAGCCTAAATCACGCTATCAACATTCCGAATCATAAACAGTATATATAGAACATCTCCGAACTATGACACGGGGCGTTGGCCGCTCCCCGGGCATAACACCTTACCCGGCGGGAGATCTCCCCTTTTCCTTCCACGGCCACAGACATTTGCCGTAATTGTTTGGCCACATTTTAGAAAGCTGTAGTGAACGACACCGGCGCTAGTGCACCAAACACTCACAAGTAACTTTTTCTGAGTCAATTTTTGTTTAGGGCAGGATTTAGCTGGGTCTCCAGGTTTCAGCCATTGCGACGTGTACTTCCGATTATCGTGCAGTATCCACTTTTCATCACAAGTAATGATTCAATTTAAAATCCCTTCATTTTTGTATCGGTTGAGCAAAGTAACACAGCAGTCGACGCGTGTTTGCAAGTTCGATTCACTCAATTCATGAGGTACCCATTGTTCAAGTTTTTTAACTTTCCCGATTTGCTTCAAATGGATTAATACAGTTTTATCACTTACCCCGAAGCCTGCAGCTATCTATAAAGTGCTTTGTGATGGATCCGCTTCCACAATAGCCTTTAATTTTTCATTTTCCACTTTGGTCTCCGGCCGTCCACGGGATTGGTTCTGAAGGTCGAAATTTTCTAGAACGAAAACTTTGAAACAAAAAACGTACTGTGCTTTCTTTTGCGACTTCAGCGCCGTACACATCATTAATTCTTCGAGCTGTTTCTGCAGCACTGGTGCCACGGTAGAACTCGTACTCGTAAATATACTGATATATTATGTTTTCCATTGTGTGGCAATAAGCGACGCCGAAGAATAAAATAATGAGGAAAAAACAAATGAATTGTTTTCAAAACTCAAATGTACCAGCTAAATAAATTTATAAGTTTGAATATGGAATTCTTAACCAAACAGGAGATATTTCAGATCAAACTTGTTAGTATAACGCTAATTTCGTGTGTAAGGGCCCAATATTATAGAATTGGTGACAAAACACAAAATTTACTTAATTAACGCATTACGGAAATAACTATTTTGAAATTACTAATTAACCCAGTTCCAATAATGAGAAGTTACGTTATCCACGCTCACGTTTTTTTAATGTATGTTCACCGATTTCGCAGAAAAAGTTAAACCGATTTTAGCGATTGACCTTTTAAAGTAGGTTTTATATCAGGAGTGGACCCATAAACTCGTAAATAAATAAAGGTCCACCACTTTTTTTTACCGGAGCTGAAACGCACAGTGCTTACCACCGGTGATTTTTTCGGACCGATACGACTTACCTTCAAGAAAATAGCTTACTCTTTTCTAAGAGGCCGGCAACGCATCTGCAATTCCCCTGGTGTTGCGGTTGTTCATGGGCGGCGGTAGTCAATTGTCATCAGGTGAACCGCCTGCTCGTTTCCCCCTCTTCCATGTAAAAATAATAATGAAAAAGTCGAAAAATAGAGGAAGGTTTTAATTAAAACTAACATTTTAAATGAATCTATTTAACTATTAACTATTTGAACAATATTTTATTAGGCTGTAATGGTAATGGTAAGGAATATTGTTATATTCCTTGCCATTAAATTCATTGCTATTAAATTCCATTGTCGAACACTTAACTTATAATGGGACTGAGGTGCTTGACGTCCCGATGTCATAGTTAGCCCGGCTACCTTCTATTATAATCAAAAACTGAAGGTAGCCAAGCAAACTATGTATGACATCGGGACGTCAAACACCTCAGTCCCCCACCCGAAATGGAGTTCTACCGGAACATACATAAAAAATATTTCGAAGTCGGTTAAAATAATAAAACAAACTGCGATACTCAGTTGACAAAAATAAATTGAGCCTTTGAATGGATTTCCTCTAAATTAATATCAACTATAAATTGAATTTAAAATAAGCGCTTCATTTTGTAAATTGTCATCGGATGAAATACTAAACGACTACCCTTTATTTATAAAGCTTTCAATGCGCTGCCTGTTTATAATTAATATGTTTTGTCTCACTTTTTATATTCAACTAGCGATCCGCCCCGAATTCGCACGGGTGATTTCTGGGTCTCGATAACAGCGTCTACCGGGTTTAAATGTGATATAGATTATAGACCATCTACAGATATATTCAAACACACAAATTTTTTTATCAAATTCGGTTGGATGATTTCAGTCTATAACGGACATAGGTGTAAGGATAAGATGACATTTAATAAACACATGAAATTTAAAACTTTGGGCATTTACTTCTTTTATATAATATTAGGATTTCGTATTCAAACATATTAGCATATAACTATTTAATTTTCAACTTACTATAAAAATATTTATGAACATTATATTTTTATTTAAATAAGTTTTAATATATTCAACCGTCTAAAGGTGTACATGTATTTTGATTAAAATCGGTTATTATAGATTTGAAAATTTAACAATAAATGGACTAACTATTTAGTATTACCTTTTTATTAGGACATGAAATAATGACACGATATTATATACATAACGTCATGCATTCTGCTTATGCAAAGCTCGAAAGCAAGCGAGTTATAAGATTGCATCTAACTACAAGTGTAAATAAAAGTTTTTTACCTGAAAGTCTTTCAACCATCGGAAAGACCTTGATAAAGGAACAGAAAAATAAAATCAATGATAGAAAAGGTAGAGATAAATAACACTTACATCCACAGTCAATTAATCTATACAATAAATTCCGTAAAAAAAAATGCATAACTTTTAAGCACATATAAAGTGCTTCCACAAAACGAACAAAGATTAGAATAAAGAAGGTTGACTCACGTACCAAAAAGCTTTGCAACTGATTGTCTTTTGACGAGCTTAGATTCAGCAACTGGCGAATCACTGAGGGATGCCGGCGCTGAGCATTCTCCTTGGGTCTTTTTATCGTTCAAGTATGAGTTGATTGATTCACCTCTCCTGTATGGCCTACTTTCGCGACGGCTGTTTTTATCTTCTTTTATGTCCGTGGGTACAGTTTCTGCTATTTGAAATAGTTGGAGGCTAAATTTGCTGGATTCCCTCCTTAACATCTTCTTATTGGCAAACTCTGCCAAAGAATGTCTCCTCTCTCCGTCAGGATTGAGTTTTCTTCTCGCTCTTTCTTCTTCTTTCACTTTGAGCACATCAAGTAAAGCGTTTAAAGTTAAAATGATAAGAAATGTTGTAATTCCTATTACTGTGATAGTATTGTTATCAGTTTCCATTTTTTCTTCTTTAGGTTTGGTACGTTTTATTTCGGGCCTTTCCGTGAATATTTGTAAAACACTACACGCGCCTTTCAGAAACAATGGAATGTTCTTCGTCTTTCTTAATGGTTTAGTTTCGGTTTTGTACACGATTATTTCGGACTGAAACTTGGCTGTTTTCTCACTGCTGTCTGAGGTTACCCCATTATTGTTGCTTGTCATAAACCACATGTTAACACTGTAAATACAGTAAATGACTACAGAGAGAATGAAAAACAAGATCTTACGTTCGTTCATGTTTACATTGCAGAAGTGCCGTTTTGTTTTGACAGTCTCGTGCATGCGAGCGTCCCTATTAACGAATACAAATATTTTGTTCCCAATCTCACTGTTCTCGCGTTTAATTTCCATTAATTGCTTCTTTTTTCGGTTTATTTACCATTATTCTAAGTACGCAGAGAACTACGTCAGGCTTTCATTTACAGATCTCGGCCACTACCGTTTGCGCATGTGCGCGATTTCAGTTGGGGCGTCCAGGTCGAGTGCGCTGTAGTTGCCACTCTTAGTACGCGAATACACAAATCAATGGTAGCACCAATATTTTGCCGAGCCTTGACACACTATTCTCTCAGTTTTTGTGTATGTAATAACACATTCATTTATTAATATTTTCTATTTAAGTTTCTGTGTTTTTCTGGCTCATCAGTTGAAATTTTTATATTGTACTCTTCAAACATATTATTATTCATATTACTTTTTTCAATGTAGCATTAGTTTTATCGCCCTTTAGTACTTCTATTCATCGGCGGTTATCTGTTACAAAATGAAATTGTTTAATACACTTACCACTTATCTAAATTATCTTTACACACGAATTACTTATTTCTTATTGATTGATTTTACGGCACCGTATATTTTGATACACATGGTATAAAATAATTTACAACAATCGCTTTGAATATTTAATAGGACCTTTATGGAACTTTTGTTTTGTGTATTTTCCTAATGTATTTTTCCATTAAAATCTAGGATATTTATTTTTATTCTAATTTATCTGTGAAAAACGTAGAATTTTCGCTAGTCATTTCATTTTCCTTATAATGATTCTATGACATTTATTTATTTTATTATTTAATAATGAAGTAATATACTTGCATTGTACTGGTTTTAAAATTACACACGAATATGATTTGTAGTTGATTGGTATTATTCCATTGTTGGATTATATTTAATTAAAATTAAATATTTTTTTTTTCGCCTGGCGTAAAATGCCCAGATCGATGACGGGATACAGTGTCATCATCATCCCTTCACAAGTACACTTCTGATCATAGGCTTTTTTTTTAAAGAATGCCACAAAGCACAGTCCTGAGCCACCTGTAACCATCGACTTCCTGCCTGTCTTGCCGGTTGTAAATATATAATAATTTTTGATTTAATTATACATTATCATTATGATTCAACGACTTTTCTATGCCTTTTATACCATTTACACATTCATCATCATTACCATTAATGCACATCACAAGTTTATAATTGTACACTACACTTCACTTTTAATTCATTTTTGAAAACAAATACGTACTGTGTTGGATACTTTCACATTATTATTTATAAAATATGAAAGAATCCAAATAATAATTTCTGAAATGATTCAATATAAACAACTTAGAACATCACAAATTATAACACAAATTCTGTGACAGCATGACATTTGTTTTAGAGAGATCGTGTCATTTAATTTCCTGACTCGGTAAATTGTCATTTCCGATTAGGGTTACATTGTCTGCTATGATTGTTTTTATTTAAATACCCCACATTTGTTGTTACAATATAAGAATTATAAAATGAACTTAAGTCCATGAGTTTAAGCATCATATTGCGATGTAAGTTAAAATCTACATATCGACTTCACATATTTTTATAGAACTTTAAACTTCTCGGTTCTTTTTGGGTCGTTAGTGTCTAAAATGGGAGTTATTCATAGATTACTTCGTTTAAGAGCTATTTTTGTAACTTTATTTTTTAAAAGTAGAAATTACAGCAAAACCTATGTCTCCTAAATTCATCGGTGGGTTTGTAAATGTGGGTGGGTGTGTGGAGTTGTTTGATGATGTGGAACGCATCTTAATATATAAAAATTCCGTGACAAGATGTTCATTCACGCTAATCTAAACTACTCAGCAGATTTTAATGAAATTTCGTAAAAAACTGCTCCAACTTGAGAAACAGGATAGTTTCTAACCCGATAAATGCCCTTAATATTTTTTATTGCGAATTTATGTGTTCTTTTATTTGACAAAGGGTCATCGGAAAGAGCAAAATTACTCAGCTAGTTTTCATTAATTCATGAATGAATTCATTGTTTCATTGCATTCCTTCACAAGTCCACTACTGAACATAAGCCTCCCCCAAGGTATGCCGCAAAGCTCGGTCCTGAGCCATTCGTATCCATCGACTTCCTGCAAGCCTTACCAGGTCGTCACTCCATTTAGTGACCAGCTAGTAATATTTATGGCTGACTTGACATCGAAAGTTTATAACTGTTTATAACTCTACTTCTTTATCTATCCGGAAAAGTTTACTGCTGGAAATGTGCCTCTCCTACTATAGAGAGTCCTTCTCAGTTCTCCTCACTCACTCATTTGTCAGTTCTTTGAAGTTGGCCGCAATGGAAACGTACCTTCAGTTGATTACTACAGTTAGTGGTATTTGCTATTGGGTTAAACCACTACAACTTCATACGTAGTAGAGCCATGCTGCAGTTATATTAGTAGTATAGTTGTAGCACGAATGGGACGGCTCGACCGGGGAAGCATCACGCTTTCACAGAATACCAGCGTCAAATAGTAGCTTAATGCTGCTGTGTTTGGTATGGTTAGTGTAGAGAACCGGAGACCCCTTTTACTGGAAACGAGGCATTCCATCTTAGTTCTCACGGGTGACAACGCATCTGAATTTTGATTCGTAATCGAGGATGGATGTAGATGTCTATGCGCCATGGCAACCACTTACCATCAGGTGGACTGTGTGCTCGTGGGTCACCATATCCTGTAAAAAAAAAACGAATTTAAATAGGTATGATCTTAGCTATACGAAATAAATTTGATTAAATTGTAATTTGCACTCAGCATATATAAAGGTAACTTATATCTGCATATATAAGAGAGCTTACTCCTTTCTAAAAAACCGGCAATGCAGGTGCATACCTCCGGTGTTGCAGATGATTATGGGCGGCGGTGATGATTCACCATCAATTTAACTTTATGCTATTTCGCCGCCTCTTCTATAAAAATAGATGCGTCACCAGAATATGGTCAGCAAAAATGCGATAAACATAAAATAAATGACTTTTATTGAATGTAAAACCCGACTTTAAGTAATCCAAAAGTATAAAATAATTTCACACTCTTCGACGTCGGTGCTATGACTATAAATTAAAGCCTGACTTCAGAATGTAAAATTATTTTATTCTTTATCAGTTCTTTGAAGTCGCCTGTTAGTTTCATTGAAAGCTATTTTTTACCCTTTGAAGGAACAGAGGAATATTACAATCTGAGTATTATCTTATCAGTTATACTAAAAATTTCTTCCCCTATTTTACCACTCTTAGGCATTTTTTTCGAAATTATATGGGATCATCCCTGAAGTATAACCAATTTAATAAAAAAATATTCATCAAAGTCGGTTCACAATTGATGAAGTTTTCGCGTAATATGAATATAAAAACATACTCCAGTCGAATTGTAAACATTATCATTTTTTGAAGTCAGCTAAAGTTTATCTAAAATTACCAGGATAGGTATATTGTTAAATAATTAGTCCTATATTCAGTAGTGGATTTGTGAGGGGCTGTTATGATAACTGCCATTTTTTATAGAATAAGCGTGGCAAACGAGGACACAGTCCACCTAATGGTAAGTGGATACTGTAACCCATAGGCATCTACATCTATCCTCGATGAACCATGAAAATGCAGACATGCGTTATCACCACTCAGGAATACGATGAAATGCCACGTTTCCAGTAAAAAGGGTCTCCGTTTCTCAACATATCATACGAAACACAACAGCACTGAGATGCTATTTTACGTTGGTATTCTGTTAGAACGTGTTTTTTCCTCGGTCGGGCCATTAATTATGAAAGGTAATACCTATCTAAAACAACAAGACTTTTTGGGTTAGATCTATTATTTTCTTGAAAAAGTTTTTATCTAAAGCATAAATTGTATTGATCAAGGTTTTATATTGGTATAGTAATTGACTTTTATTTGAACATTTAAAAAATAAACATAAAGAAAATTTATTGGAGTATTAAAACATTTCGTTCAGTTAGATCAATTAGGGTGGATTTTGTAAATGTAACGAATACACAGAGCTAAAAGATGAACAAAAATCATATACGGGGATGTCTTTTCTAATAGGGTAAGGGTGACAAACGAGCACACATTCCACCTGATGGTAAGTGGTTGCTGTGGCCCATAGACATCTAATCTTTTTTTTTTTTATAGAATAGGCTGACAAACGAGCACACAGTCCACCTGATGGTAAGTGGTTGCTGCGGCCCATAGACATCTACATCTATCTTCCATTACAAATCAAAATGCAGATGCGTTGTCACCCATGAGGACTGAGATGGAATGCCTCATTTTCAGTAAAAAGGTTCTCCGGTTCTCTAGACACCTACATTTAACCTGGATTAAAAATAAAAGTGCACCCTTGACGACTAAGATAGAATACCTCGACTTCAATAAAACGGGTCTTCGGTTCTCTACACTCACATACGAAACACAGCAGCATTAAGCTGCTATTTTACGCCGGTATTTTGTGAGAGCGTGGTCCTTCCCCGGTCGAGCCGACCCATTAATGCTACAACCATAATATACCTAAAGAGTGGCTCTACCACGTATGGCAGAACCACAATAGTACATGGTTCTACAATAGACAATAGTACAAAGTAGCCCGGCAGTAGGTACTTGTACTTTTATGTGCTAATAAAGTTTGGTTAGGCGTTAATGAAAAACTGTGTTTGATAACCCGCCTACCAAGTGTCTCAACTATGGCTAATTTCCCTCCTATGTTGGTGGCTGTAATCAGCAGGGGACTTTTGATACTGTGTAAAATAAGAAATAATTGATTCGAGATTACAATGAAGGTAAAAATTTCTTATGATATACATTTCTTCTACCTAACAACAACAAAACGCAAGCAGAAAATTCATTCAAAGCCGCA